GTATATGTATACGTATACGTATATATANTATAGTATATATGTATATATATATATTATATATATATATATATATATGTGTGTGTGTGTGTGTGTGGTGTATTACGTATATATATATATATATATATGTCTTCGATACACAATCCTTCATTCAAAGGTTAATACATACTCAACCACCCTTATCATATACTGCACGACCTATCATCATCTCTGCACAGGGACGCTCGCGGACGTCTAAGTCTCGAAGAAACACAGGAAGAGAAACTGAGCCAGTTTGAGCGAGTGCTCAGCCAGAACATGCAGACGATGAGTGAGATGCAGTACCTCAATGTGTACGTGCGATGTCTCAATGCCGTGTGGGGAGAGATTCTGCGCATAGTAGAGCGCATTGTGATCGACGAGAAGTACGACGTCAGGCGGATACGCGCGCTGGAGAATGCGTTGGAGGTGTGTGTGAGTGAGTGTGTGTGTGTGTGTGTGTGCCTGTGTCTGTGTCTGTGTCTGTGTCTGTGTATTAATTTCTCTGTGTGTGTGTGTCTGTGTCGATGTCTGCGTGTGTGTGTGTCTGTGTTGGTGTACCTGTGTGTGTGTCTGCGTGTGTGTCTGTGTCTATGTTCTTATACTTAATGTGCATAGCATGTTCGATACGCGGCGGCTGTGTACGGCGGTGCTTCTGCGTTTGGTACAGTTTGGTATGAGAGCAGACACCCATCAGGTAAGTGTATTATACACTGTATATGTTATTCACCACACACACACTTACAACGTGTATCCGTCTTCTAATTCCCTCTACAGTCGCTGTGGGCTTGTGTGCATGCCAAAGGCAATGGGCTGCCAGCCGATGTTCTTGCGGAGGAGCGGTACAAAATCCTCAGACAAGTCCTTACAGCAATGGAGGCGAACGATGGTAAGATATATCCTATACTCCTTATATGACCGTGGGCGTGATGTGTATGCTTGTGTGTATGTTTTAGCTTTGCTGCGCATTTACATCATTCATTAATTTTTTTAAATTCACTGTGTTTGGCGATAGGCTTAGTAGATAGCTGTCACTGAGATTGCCTGTCAAGACTTATAGGTGCGTGTTTTAATCTTCTTCCCAATATGTTATTCATTCTAGGGGAGAGCGTGGTAAACCTTCACATGTTCAATCAGGAGAACCCGAAGCAGGCGGCTTTCTTAAAGGAGGTGATGAAGAAGAGCAAGGACAAATATATACAGATGTACCTAAGCTCAATACCATAATGGTGACTGATGTGCTACATCTTCCGACCCATAACAATAAATAATTAGTGACTAATTTGGACTAGAGTGGATTAATCGCAGAACACAAAATTATTGATTATATCATCGATTTCGAGTTCCGTGTGAGGTTACTGCATACAATTATATATATGTATGCATTTATATGTATATATAT